TCGATGCGTGAGTAAATAGTAGAACTCTTCTCAGTTGTGCCTTATTTTCGAAAAACTTCGGATCTTATATTCAGATCAGGATGCTACAATGTGCTAATGGGAAGGTGATGAAGACCCGCTGAACCATACTTAAGGCTATATTTAAGTGCTAATCCTCTAGCAGAATATGAATTGGCTAATACACGGCAAATACGAGACATCAAGTAAAATGATCCAGAATGTATTTTTAAAATGGTTTCAGAGCGAATATAAATAGACAAAACCGGTAACTTTGCTAAGAACTTAATTACTTTAGGTTATTTTTCGTATTTGAGTAGAGTTTCGAGACTACCAGTAAATCAGTAATATGAGATGTATTCACCCTATTTCGAAATATATGGTGAATACATCTCATATTAATTTAGGTTACTTAGGGAGATTTAAAGAATGATCTATGCTAGGGCCTTGATATCGAGCCGTGAGAATCGTGCTGACTTTACCAGTCAACTATACAACCCCATTTGCCAGTGGTTCACAGGATAGGTGTGAGCTTAAAGGTAATCTAGACCGCTCAACATCAAATTTGCAGTGAGAATGTCGGTTAAGCATACATACATTCGGCATTGTAATCAATGACGTTACCTTTTTTAAATCTAAGTAGCTCTCGAGTCTATCAGCAACTCTGGAATAAGAAAGCAGCTAAGCAACCTTAGAGTAACTAAGTTATTATTCGAGAATTATTTATTCTCTTTAAGAATACTTAAACTGTATAAATTGTAACTCTCAGTAAAGTAGGAAAAAGAGTAGGAAATTGAGCAAAAACTATCCATGGCTTTGGAAATAGATTTGGAAACAGGAGCGTGGAGAATTTCCAAATAAAGGAAGGTGGCTTAGGCAGTCCATGTTTAGTTAGGATTCTACGTCCAAATTAACTCATGAGCAACTGCACATCAGATTGTGCAAGTTCACATTAGAAGCAATTGAGCAAAGGAAAATTATTTGAGTCAAATCAGACTCAGCTTGGCACGTTTACAAATAGTAAGGAACCAAGCAAAAATTGAGGAATCATAGTAAGGTATAAAAGTTGTGGCAAAATTTAGGTCAGATTTCAGTCAGCTACTGTTCTTTTTATCGTATTGAGAGAATTTAGTTTAACAATTATGATGTAAGCAGTTTTTGAGACTATCCTCATTTCTTGAATGGAAATTTATATACCATTGTTCCCTTAATGTCTTTTAAGGTTGAGGTTTCCATGAATAGGATGAGTAGACCTCATACTGCTATTGAAGTTAACTTAGCCTTGTCTCTTAAAAGAGTACTGCTATGGTGAGATAGCATTTGGGAAGCAAGGTTATTTTGAATTCCATCGAATGCTGGGGTATAATAATCTCAACTATCACTTCTAAAATTCCTTTACGCTTTCACCTTTTATGTAACAGCTAGGCGGATGAACGTCCAGACAGTTTTCGATGGAATTATGTCTGCACAATTCAATAGTTCAAACTCCGTGGAAATATTCGTTTTCTATTGAGTCCAAATTAGGAAGCTTTTCTATAAGACAATTAATTAAATAAAAATCTATAAATACCAAGAATGAGTGCTCTTTATTTTGGCCGAAATCTCATTTAGTTGGAAAGAATTCTTTTGGAGTTGCTTTTGCGGCTCATTTGTAATAAGAAAGACATCTAGTTTGACGCGCTTAATCCAGAGTTCTCTGCAACAGTCGGAATGGATCATTCCCAAATGTGCTAGATTGAGAGTCAGACGCTGAAAATTATTAGGGCTACTATGAAAGTGATCTCCAGATAAACTGTATTGACGTAGATCTCCTTGACACTATGATCAATTTGCGAAAACAAAATACCTTGGTGAAAATTTGGTCTAAATGACCACTACTGAATGCTGCTAATTATTCCCCTTTTTTTGAATCTGTAAACAACACACTACTTGGCAGTAGCAAAACTATTAATAAAAAATTATTTTTATTTTTATTCTTTAGTTTAACGAGCATGGTGCCACAGATTCAAATTGGGTTCAGCAACGTTATCATGCACAAGTTTCATTGGCCATTATCTTCACTCTTATATTCTGCGTCGAATGTATGATGAAGTCTATTGCACTGAGCTTCAATGGATACTGGCAATCAAGAAGGAATAGATTTGATATGCTTGTCGCTGTGTTAGGTGTAACTTGGATAATGTTGCACTTTGGAATCAGACATGATGTGGCAAGTTTACTGCGAAATATAATAATGTTAATAGCAGTTCACTAGATATTACATTATTATTTGTTTATTTTATATGTCCGCGTAATAATATAATGAACAAGCTTTAGTTTATAGACTTTTGTTTTTCATAATTAAATTATGCAATTCATAGATAATACCTTGACCTTATCTATTCATTTATGCTCCTCCTTTAAGCATAAGGTGAGTAAAATATAGATAGTATCCTTAGGTCTACTAAGGATTTAAGCTTTTGCGATAATTTTAGTACCAGAAGGGAATCAGATGTCACTACACACTGTTAGTCGTTTTGACAATAAAGGTGACGATTACCTGAATATAGGGATTCCTTTTGCAAATATTTTTCACAATGCATTTTCTCCATTATTTTAGTTTTCACTCGAGGTAGGCTGATACCGTATCGAATCCATTATAATTAGTAGAATCATTAATAGTAGACTTCTTTTATTGAAAGTGAATTTTCATTGTTGACTCTACCTCTACGGATGGCTCATGTGCTGATCCAGGACTAAATGAGGTTATTGGTAGTGCATTTGATTCTGGAAGAATATTTAGGAAGGTTTCTGATCTCAGTGGAGATGGCGATGAGTTGGAGACCAGTTTAAAATCGTAATACAGGTCCACTAGTGCCGTTATACCTGTGTTTTTTAAGGTCTTTTGAGCTGCACTTATGTATATATACATAATTATTCAAAGGGAACTGCGAAGTTTAACTTAAAATAATGAAGGAAGTCAAATTAGGTGGAAAAATTCAAGCCACCACTTAGGCGCTGCTGCTATGAGTCAAGTTAATGCAACTTTTAAATAATATCATAAAATATAGGAAGGCTAGTTAACTTCCTACTTTACCAGATTAACTGCCTAAATTCTTTTCTAAAATCCGTTTCTTGAAGTTTAGATAATGTTGAAAACTAATAATTCATTTGTGCCTTGTATATATAGCAGAAACCTTATTGTTAAAAAAATATAGAAAATATGCTCTAGATACATTTTGATACACTGCTTGCCCCGGATTAACTTGTAGCTCATGCATTCTTTTTTTAAGATATGCGCAGCTGAAGTTATGGAAAAATTGACCACATCATATCTCTAGTAGTAAGTTGTCTAGAAAATACTAAATTGGTTTCATAGACACCGCAAGAATTACTTAAGCAACCAGCAGCAGGTAACGGATTATTACTTCAGCTATGTTCTAAAAATAAGTTAAATGAGGACTACATTTATGGCATGTGGGAATAATCCATATCCTACGTTATATAGAAGTTCAAAAGAATATATCTGATGCTTTCTAATCAATATAATGTCACTAATTTTTGCCCTGAGTACATAATATACCTTCAAAAAAATCAGCATTTAACTGTAGTGAACTCTACGATTTATTAAGCTATAAATGTTTTTTTGTCATTTGTAAGCGTAATTCATTAAAATCTTTTCCATCTATCATACTAATTTGATGTATAATTTAATTTGAATTATTTTATCTGATTTTTTAATTATTTTAGAGTCGACATGGAATCAGCAATAATTTTGGTTGGTTCGTCCTAATACTACGTTTTTTTACGATCGCAGGAAAGCATGTAAGTCTATATTACCAAATTATTTTTTAAAATAAATGTGGGTAGGATCACTTATTGCATTTAAATATTTTAATTACAAAATAGATTATTCTAGGTTGAGAAATAGTAACGAAAGCTTTGTTATACTCTAAATTTTAAAATAAAAATTGTTTTTCAGAGACATATTTATCGAGGGCTATTGCAAACGTCACATTTTGATTGACTATATTTATTAGTTTATTATCTTACCTTGTATACGGAAATGGTTAAATTTTTAAATTTACTTGAGAAATATAATGCTACTTATTTAATATATGCTGTAAACAATTTTGAGTTTCCTGATGAGTGAGAGCATATTTTCTCGTCATAATTTCATCCAGTTTATTCCTCTACCGATTTTAGTAGTTGTTGTTTATTCTAATCAAATGTATAGGCAGAACATAAAAATATGTAAAGCTGGAGTGTCTGCAATTTTCTGTATCTTCTATTTGATTTGGCACTTGCGCCGGAAGCCGTTTGGGTAATCTGTCAATTTGGCTCGAAATAAAACATTATCTTTTCTCAGATACCCGCAAAACATTAAAAAAGTTGTACTATTAGCTTAAATACTATAAAAATAGAAGATGCTAAATTATCCCTTTTTAGGCAAGCAATACACTATGACATAAATAAAACCAACAAAAATGTCTTATATGATACCTACAACAAATACTCTACAATAGGCTTATGTGACATATGTTGCATTACTATTCCTAGTATAGTAAAAAATTTTGTTTCTAAGTCAAATTGAGCTTTTTACCATCATAAATTATCTTTAAGGTGTTGCAAAAAAAATTGTGCTGTTGAAAGCTCCCTTAACATCGGATTAGATCTTATATGCAGCAAAGTTAGAGGAGTGAAGAACAACGCGAACAAAACTATCCCCAAGTTCTACCACAATTCTTTCCCTTAACTGAGGAAGCGTTACTATGAGACACATACTGTTCTCAAGAGCATACTTTGAATATATTATAAGGATAAGGTGTGAAGACGGATACCATGAATAATTGGAAGTTGTTTGCAGGAGTCTTCACGCATTCGGCAGTGAATGGTGTTCAATAAGCCTTATTTTGTTTGTACTACTTAGTGCTCAAAGCATGGATATAAAAAATATATACAAGAGCCTCTGTGCAAAGAATAAAGATATCCGATAAAGTAGAATTGTGTAAGTAAGTAGTATTATGCAAGTAGGCTCAATGACTGTTCTTGATCTGACCTCTTTGAAGTACTAGCCAAAATTGACATATAAAGATCCCTTACTGAGATGCAAATTAATTTATCCGCAATCTTTCTTCGATACTTCGTAGTATTCATCATTGTGTAGAAGCGAGACTTAAGTAAAAGAAGAGGAAATGAGCATAATTTGTTTTTCTTAAATAATCAAACTATTCGTTTCTGAATCACTCAAGTCTATATTCTGCTGTTTTTTAGGTGACCTTAAAAATGCTAATGCTCACTGTCGTCATGTCAATGTACAAGTCTCTGTTCATTATTCTCAGTATGTTCCTGCTTATGCTTGTCTACGCTTTGGCTGGAGTTATTCTTTTCGGTTCCGTCAAGTTCGGCGACAACTTGGGTCGACACGCAAATCTGCACAACACTTTTCGGGCTACCGTCTTACTGACAAGAATCGTCACAGGTCAGTGCACAAATCAGTATTTTAATTAGCACTATCATTTATCAAACGGTCGTCTTTATAGACTTTGACGGGCAAAGATCAATTTTGAAGCTATAGAATTAAAAACTTCCCATTCTCCGTTTTAAATAGCATAACAAAATATTGAGAAAGTTTTTCGGATATTATGGTTCACTTAGAGTAGTGAAAGATGAGGAATAATCTAAAGTATCCATTTAAATTTACCGAATTTCGCCAAGTGTATGCTTATTTTTTGTTTGTTTTACAATCACTCTTGATTTGTTTCCTGAATCCACAAAAGGTCGGAAGGATTCTTCCGTCCACTATTGATAAAGCATTAAAATTTCAATGGCATTTGAGATAATCTGTAGGAATACCTTGAAAATGTTTTGATAAACCGAGCTTGGCCATGTCATAAAAAGGGAAGAAATAATGTTTTTTACTAAATTTCGGCTCGTGGAAGAATATATTTATCCTTGATTTAGGCTAAGATGTTTACGACTATTATTAATACTAATCGAAGACATATTTTACTTGCTCCTATCCCTCAATACCGCTTACCTTCTGTCGATTGTCAGAGATTAAGGCTTAACTCTCAAACAAATTATGATAATTTTCTGGTTAAAGTGATATCCTTATGTAAGTTGCATAACACCAATTCGTTTGCGTGTGCGGTTAATCTGAACTAAGCAGGTACGGAGGCTATTTTAAGGGAGGGCTTCCTGAATCTATTGGGCACAATTATTGGATACAATTTTGTGTCTCTAGCTTGTTCATGAATATTATGGTCTTGAGGCGATAAAACGAAATTCAAAATTAATTTTTTGCTTCCTAGACTTGTCCGTCAAGAGATTCCGGAGCAGTTTTTCACCTTTAAAGGCGCCAGACTACATTCATGATGCAGGCTACCAAAAAAAGCCCAAAGGGAGGCAGAAAGTG